ATACATCTTATGACAGTTCACACATGAAAAAAAAAAAGGGCGCATTCACACCAGCCTTTTATAGTCCGTTTGAATCGAACCCTGGTGCGTTTAGTCGCTTGGTGCGGTTCGTTTGGGTCGGTGTGAACACAGTCCGAGACCTCTTAAGTGAACTAAACAACCGGACTCTGGTCCGATAAAATAGGTGGTCTGGGAACGCTTGCTAGTGAACTCTGGAGCGGTTGATCGCTGGTGTGAACGCAGACCGCACCAAAACATAGGAAGCGTAGTTTTTACGTGTCACAAGAATGCCGGTGTCTTAATTTCTTTAGTGAAAGGGTGAAGCAGAATGATGTGTTGAACAGTGTCGTGTAAAGTAAAAACAACTATCAAACAAAAAACTATACATAAAAGTCAGAGCCACCTGCCGTCGGTAAACCCCCTCCTTACTGCAGAACGTCTCTCATTATATGTGTTATGTTTTGTATCGCACGTTGTCTCATTATATAATCATACAAACCATTGCTGTTGATATGCTCTCCAGATTAACAACAGCATGAAAATAACCTGCCGATGCTCCATGGGATTTGCGTTTTTACGCCCTTAATGTCTGACCAATTGTTGAACAGCATTTCCGAGCACATGACTTGTCTTTAAAGTTTATAGTCCATTTGAATTTTGCCCGTGTGAATGCAAACCGAACCTTCTAAAAAATACAATATAACAAACTGTGGTCTGGTGCACTCCAGAGAAGCGAACTATTAGGTGTGAATGCACCTAATAGTCCGCTAATAATCTGAAATGTAATGAACTAATAATTGGTCTGACTGGATTAACATTGTTGCACAACATTCATCTAAGACTTAAATGAACTCAATCTTTAAGTGGACAATATGTTTAATGTTTTTGTCATACTGATTTTCTGATGTATACGTTAACCACTGACTGTTGATGAACCATTTTATTTTGGATTGAGGGCTCTAAGTTTCCATATAGAGATAAAGGATGATTTGATGTATTTCTACATCTTTATTTTTAAATGTTTTGTATCAATGCTATCCTGTTAATGAGCCCTGTTTTACATAAATGTACCCGTTATCTGTAACTGTAAGGGAATACATTTGCCTATTTTGTATCTTGATGACCTAATGGTGTTACATGTAATACGTTACTTCCTAAGCCTGATTTCACCCACCTGCAACCGATTCGCTAATAATCACAAATGTTCATTTATTTGACCCCTTGACTCGACTATTTCTTGTTTAATAATCGTTACATCTCCTCAGGTCCAAGTTCCTGTGTCCTGCCTTTCACCTGCTGATCACCCACTGCTCATTTAAGGTGGACTGACCTTTACAAGGGACCAGCTAGTCTTAGTGTCTTAATGCAAACGTTTTGTAAAGTGATGCTAGACCAAAAACGTGCTGTTGGGTTGTGTGCTCTCTGCAGGACGGTGTCTGTACTCAAAGATTGTTTATGAAATGAGAGCTTCACTCTGTTTTTGTTTTCCAAACAACGCCAACAGAGCGATACATCTTCTTTCCAGCAGATGGCATACATGTTGCATCATCCAGTTCAACTGTGATCCACATATTAATGATTCAAAACAGCAATGTGTAAGATATGGCTACTAATTCACTATTTCAACAGAATGTGAAGGGGTTACAGTCTTGAGGCCATGTTCAATATGTTTATGTTTTGTTTGATTAAATCTACTGAAATGAGCATTCAGTGACTAAATTATTCTTAATTACTGTCATTACATCATGGGTTTGCATTGCAATATTAGAAAGCATAAAACCCTACAGAAGGTCCAGTTGTGATAGACACAGTTCGCCACTGTGCAGTTGTATTGTTCTGGATTCATAGTGAATTGTATTAAATGTTCTGCACTGTTATTGTTGTGTATTTGATATAAAGTGAAATACCCATTAAAACAAGTCAGAAAAGAAATGGGACTCACTTAAGGAAAAAGGTTCTGAACCAGTGAGAGTTCTTCATTTGCACATAAACATGATTGTGACCAGATGGTGTCGACAAGCGGCAAACTCTGCAATATGGTCTATCTGCAGCCGCAGCAAGTACACGACACGCCCCCTACACGACCCGCCCACCTGACACGACACTACGGTGGCTGAGAGACATTGATGCCGTACATGGCAGATTAAAAACGAATTGCAAATGTTATTTTAGCATTTTAAGCAACTATTAGGCAAACTAATTAATAATCTAGTCTATCCGTTTGAGACACAACAGTATATGACTTTAAGCACAAATCATTTTGTCTAATCAATTAAAATAAAAAGGGGGCTTAGTAAACTTTATTTTTTAGTACACATAAAATAGGTAATAATGAGATCATCTATTCATTATGTTTGTCTCACGGCTACACATGAATTTATACATAAATGTAGATAGTTATGCACATCTAAATATAGTTGTTAAAGATTTTAAGATATATTTGGTATTTTCAAAAACACTTAATATAATTTGTAAGGTTAAAATACTGCTTGCCGCACCTTTCAGGTGACTTGTAACGTTTGTTTATTTGACACTGTTCATAAAGTTATTTGAATGTATCACTTCCTGTCAATCTTGCATCACTTCCTGTCATGCTGTTAGAAAATGGTAGAAACTCAAGGAAGCCACATGTTTATGCACTGTTAGGAGCCATTTGCATTTGCATGAAAAGACCGATCAATCAATGATTACATTTCATTGTTAACATGTTGTAGTTCCTATATCAATGATTATTTGATGGAAAGATGTTTAACCTGTTAAGCACCGAGCCTGTTTTTCAGGTCTCAGGCTCGAAAAAGACATTTCCAGAACAAATGACCATATCTTCCCTTCTAAAAGGGTTAAATTACTAATATTTGTTCTCAAAATAATGATAAGCCTGTGAGTTGGATGTAGAAAAGTCAATCAATATAGATGTTTTTTTATTTTAAAGAAAATTCAGATTGAACATGGTAAAAAACTGTAAATTATAGTGTCCGTCCAAAAATTATTTTTTACTTATAGTGAAAACTACCCTTGGATGATGGTAAGGTAGACTAAAAGCTTTAGGAATCCAAAGTACAACATATAATAAGTACCCTGTATCGAGATTGATGCAAAATAAGTGACATTTGACCTTTTTAGAGAGGTTTAGCAACAAAAAAAAATCCACCTCTGGGGGGATTTGGGTGGAAATGAGAGTTGTTACCGTTTCTCTGGAACCCATTGGTCGATTTCGGTGATTGACATCTCTTTCTGACCGTTGGAGCCAATAGAATCGAAGGGCAGTTTTCACATAGACACCAACGTTAACACAAAAAGGTGGGGGCTTTGCGTATTTAGTTTTGCAAGAGAATGAAGCTATCTCTCGCTCTGACATCTGGAAACGGAAAAGCAGGGTTTATTGCTTATGGATTATCAGAAATAATTTCAAAGGTACACGGACACATTGGATGAACCTATGGATTAACTTCAGCAGCGTTTTTATTGTTTTAATGCCATTGAAGACAAGTTTTGACCAGACAACGACAACGACAACTCTTTTTCTTCATTTTGAGTGGAGTTTAACTTTGTGTTAAGTCTGCGGCTCTTACGTCCGGATTTGAACATTATAGTGAAAAGACAGTAGAGATCAGTTTTTACAAAGGATAAAAATGGCTTCCAGAAAGAGAGGAAAATCATCAACCTCTGGAGGAAGATCTTCAACCTCTTCATCAAGCAGTGCACCACATGCTCGTGCTAAAGCAGAAGCAGCCACGGTTAGAGCAGCTTATGCATCACAACAACTAAAACTAAAGCTGGAGTCAGCTAGGAGAAATGCAGAAGTACAGTTCGAAAAAACAAGAATAGACACAGAACTAGAAGTATTAAATCTACAGTGTGAAGCAGAAGCCGCAGTAGCTGAAGCACAGGTTTTGGAAATGGCAGATGGTTTCAAAGTTAAAGATGAATTCCGAGCACCAGAGTCTGAAAATAAAACGGAACGCATAAGTGACTATATCTGTGAACAAAGTGCTCTTTCCCAACATTCACGTGAAATGGGCCAGTCTTGCATGGAGCTAGAAGAAGGATTCATACCTCAGTTGTCACCTGCTGAAGACATCGTACAACCACCACCATTAAGTAGCCTTAAAAACAGAATTTAAAGCAGCCAGAGATGTGCACTTACCTTTTTCCGACCAAAGCTGACGGTTACAACCAACCATTATCTCAGTACACGGATGGAAAATCCCAACCGTACACACCAGAACGAATAAATGTGCACGCTCAGCCCTTTATCCCGAGACAAGCTTCTCCAGCTATCTCAACACCTGAACACTGAAAAAAGTGCAACGACTGTGTCATTTAATCAAAGTACATTTTTTAATTGGTCTATGGGGAAAGTGTTGACTCACGTTTCAGAGTGGCCTTTTATTGTGGCCAGCCTAAGGCACACCTGTGCAATAATCATGCTGTCTAATCAGCATCTTGATATGCCACACCTGTGAGGTGGGATGGATTATCTCGGCAAAGGAGAAGTGCTCACTATCACAGATTTTTTCAGATTTGTGAACAATATTTGAGAGAAATGGTTATTTTGTGTATATAGAAAATGTTTTAGATCTCATGAAAAATGGGAGCAAAAACAAAAGTGTTGTATTTATATTTTTGTTCAGTGTATATATGTTATTTACAGCATTGGTTGGTTGGGGTTGCTTTTAACACTGAATGATTATTGAAAAGATATGTCCGGTGTACTTAAACTTGTTAGATTGTATGCCAACAACTTACCTGACATTTGTCATTTACTGATGGTGTTACGTGCCAGGCAGGCTGTACTTGTGTGGTTTTCTTTCCTTCCCTCCTGTGTTTCTCTCTTCTCCCTGTCTTCTGCACAGCTGATCAGCAGCTGATCGGTATCTGCCTGTGCACCTGAGTCTGATGGATGATTGGATCCTCTCACCCTCAGCTGGCCTATCAGCAGCCAGGGCCGACCATAAAGGAGGCACCCAGGAAGTCTTCTCGCTCTCTCAAACTGGGCCTGTTGCTGATGAAGGAGCCTGCAGTGTTTAGCAACTCATTCTCTTTGTATTGTCTGATCTTTATGAAAGTGTGTGTGTTGAGAGGGGGAGGAGTTAGGTAAGTCTGGAGTACCCTGTACATTTCTCACCACGTAGCTAACTAATGTTTAGACACACTAGGTTAGCGGATTGTTGCCACCCCTCTATATTGTTTTGCCAACTTCTTTGTAGTTTAGTTAGTGAGGGTTCTTTTTTGTTTGAGTTTTGGTTTCAAAGGATAGATGTAGAGATAGGCCTGGTTTTGTTATGCTTGTTTCTTATGTTTGGCACAATCCTTTGACTCCTCCTCCTCCAACAGAGTGTTTCAGTTATATGTCTGTTCGGTTCTGGGTTTACACAGAATAAACCTTTTGTCAACTGTTACGCTGACTCCCTCATTTTTATTGGTTGTATGTTATTGTCTCCAGGTCCCCTAGGGGACGTAACAGATGGGTTTCTGTTTTGATTTTTTTAAAATCAAACTCTTATAGTATAAGTAATGAGCAATAAAATAAGGTAATGTTTATTTTTAAAGTAACAGACTGAGACACTCGCAGATAAGGCAACATTTTCTGTAATAAAGCCCTGGGTGATAGGACGTGTTTCATTCAAATTAAACCATGTTTATTTTTTATTTCAGACTCCAAGCAATCCCAACATCAACATCACAAGAGATGTTGTCATTCGCTGTCTGATGGTTTACCTTGGGGAACGTACTGATCAGCTCTTAAAAGAGTATGATGTAAGTGTATCTCTCTCTCTGTCTTCTCTCCTGGTATGTCTTGGCAAGGTCTAATCATAAAATAAAATGATAAATATTTTTCCCAGAAATGATTGGCAAGCTACTAAGTTTCGTAGTTTTGTTGAGTCATGTTAGCAATCATCGCTTCTGTGTAAGTGTGAAATATAATTTTCTTCTATATGTCTATTATTTTTTTAAATACATGTTTACGTGGTCCTAAACGTTTCTTCCTAAGAGCTATTCAAATAGCAGCTGAAAGACACTTTAAATAAGAGAACAAGCAGGATTGATCCAGCTGTAATTCACTTCAATCTTCAGAAATGGTCTTGCAGTGAATTATCAGGATTGGTTGACCGGTGACAAGCTTTTGCTAGTACTGTACATGTAAAATAAGATATTCATCAATACACAGGTGTTATTTATACATTAAAATACCTATAGATTTATTTCAATTTAAAAACATTTGACTAAATTCAGACCATGATTTATGTTGTAATTAAATTGTTTGTTGTTGGTGAAATAATCACCTAATTCTTAACTTAGCTGCGATGAAAATATGCTATTGCAAAATGCCTTATGTTCTATTTTTCTAAAACACTGATGTAATTAGGGAGCATTCATTTCAAGTTTTCTTATCCAGTAAGTTGTAAGAAATTTGGTAAATTATTATATATTAATTTGTATCACCTTCTCCTTTGGCAGAACATTCTGACATATACAATGTTTTTTGCAATTTCAGGATGCAGATGAAGACAGCGCGTCACATGACCTTGCTGTTCAAGGGATGGCGATCTACAGCATCAAGACAAATGCTTCAGAGGGTTCCCATGACATTGGCATTGTTGTAGAGGGCATCAGAGTGCTGACTTCTCAGGGCACCATTCCAAGGGCTTGCTGCATGCTCATTTGGATCGCATGCAGTCAATCTTGCCTATCCCAAGCAGCTAAAGTACACGTTCGAAGCCTTCCAGAAACTCTTTCTCAAACTGGACTGTTCAAAGCTGTCCCCAAAGTTGAACAGCCTGAAAAATAAGCTTCTTGCTTGAGAAAAATGGTTATGTCTCCATCAAAAATGGCACACAAAATGGTTACCTTCAGTGTTTTGTTAAATGTTTGAGTCGTTTGTTCCCGTTTATTTAAGGACGCCCTTTTGAAGGATACTGCATGGGTTTGTCTATGGCCTTAGTGGGCTCCTGGAAAACTGAGTTAAAAAAGTGTTAAAGGTGGTTGTTAAAAAAAATCCAATTAACCATAATTGTTTAAAGAGAGTGGCATCGTGTTTTTGAATCAGTATTTGCACAGGCAACATTTCCTGTACCTTTTAGTGCCACTGTAAATCTGGATGTGAATATGAGATGTTTTCAATGTAGACTTTTAATATGCATGTGACATCCATGTTTTAGCATTTTGCACTGAAAAACGGCGCGGACTGAAAACTCATCTCTTTCGACTCCACTTCCTTTCAGTTTTACTCCTTTCACTATTGATGTTGTTCATGAAGCCTTAACCAAGTTAGATCCTAAGATGCCGGCTGGTCCGGACAACGTAGAACCTTTCTTCTTAAAGATAGCAGCAGATTTTATTGCACCACCTCTTACTTCTCTTTTTAACCTCCCCCTCAGCACAAACACAATTCCAAAAGTATGGAAGTCAGCTTACATCCTTCCTCTACTAAAAGGTGAGGAGGCCACTTTATTAAATAATTATAGGCACATCTCTAAATTATCAGTTCTGGCCAAGGTTCTTGAAAGCCTAGTGAGTGAACAGGTAAAGGAGTTTTTATGTAAAAATTACATCATATGTAAACATCAGTCAGGCTTCAGAAAGCAACATAGCACCATCACTGCCAAAATGAAAGTAGTGAATGATATTGTATATAATATCTTAGACAAAAAGCAGAGTTGTGCAGCTCTGTTTATTGATCTTTCCAAAGCTTTCGATACCGTCGATCATCATATCTTGAAGCAGAGGCTACTCAGTATTGGCATATCCAGCCATGCAGTGGGGTGGTTTGTGAAATACCTCTCTGAAAGATCCCAATGTGTTCAATTTAATGGGCTCACTTCTGAGTGGTTAAACATTACAAATGGTTCTGTTTTAGGTCCACTTTTATTCTCCATATATATCAACAGCTTAGGTCAAAATGTGGATGCAGCAACCTTACATTTTTATGCTGATGATACCGTGATGTATTATGCAGGTCCCTCCATTAAGGAGGCTGTTGTTAAATTACAGGCTGTTTTTTTAATATTATTCAGACTCAGCTCGCTGAGCTTAAGCTTCTTTTAAATGTTGATAAAATTAAGGTAACGCTATTTTCAAAAGTCAAAAAATCACCGGAGACCACTTTGGATATTGTTACTACGCAAGGAAAAGTAATTGAAGTGGTTGTCTGTTATAATACCTTGGTATCTGGTTTGATGATTGCCTCTCTTTTAAACTTCAGGTCAATAATCCGCTTTGAAAGCTAAGGGTGAAGCTAGGTTTCTTTGACCTTTTTACCTGTGCTGGACTATGGTGATCTGATCTATATGAATGCACCTGCCCATTGCCTGCTCAAGTTAGATGCCGCCTATCACAGTGCTCTGAGATTTGTTACTAACTGTAAAGCACTTACTCATCACTGTACCCTGTATGCCAGGGCAGGTTTGCCTTCACCAACTGTATATGTGAATGAGCTGTGCAGTTCATCAGCTGTTATTGGCCGTCCCGACCTCGCAACATCCGCGGTGATTGGACAGACGTCATCCAATCCTCGCTCGCTTCTGCCACGTCACCCGGGGGAGGAGTACAAAGGCCGGGCACGGACATCATTCTCGAGGCTCTGTATTGTGTGACAGATGCCTCAAGCCTCTCATTGTGATACTGCCATCTTCTGTGATTCCTTAGACTGCCTAGCAGTGTGTTCAGTAGGGTTTCTGTGCGAGCACACTGATTAGCAGTGTGTCGTAGTGTTCTGTGTTTAGTATAGGGTTTGTGTGTGTGTGTTGCTTATATCCAGGTTGCTTAGCTCCTGTAGAACAGCATTTAGGATTATTGACATTGTGAAACAGCTTAGACCCAGGTTAGCTTAGCGCCTGTAGATCAGCATTTGTGGAAGTATTACTTAGACCCAGGTGATTAGCAACTGTTGACCAGCCACCGCTGTGTTCCCACACCGCCTCATTTTGTTTAGTGTTTTGTTCCACTTTAGAAGTGAGGTACTTTCTTTCTTTTGTATCATATTGTGCAACTCTCTTTTGGAGTTCTCCTTTTGTTAAATCATAACAGTTTAGTCCGTTGTTGGTCCAGGCTGTTCGTATATATTATTGTGTTCATTGTTTTGGTTACAAATAAACCACCGGTAACACATACCAATTCCAATCTGGTCGTGTCGTGTCCCTTTGGTCCCCCTAGCCCAATAGGGAACGTAACACATATAAAGAAAAGGGTAACAGGCCATGTGTCAGTATACACCACAGAGTTGTTGGCATTGGTATTGCCATTGAAATGGATAGAGGAGAAATAAATACATAACAGTGTAATTGTATCTGACAGCTTTTCAGCATTATCGAGTATACGATCAGGCAGATCTTCATTTAGAACGGACATAATAAATGAAATATTTCTAATTTGATATAAAATGCAAATCAAAGGCATAGCAACTCGTTTCATCTGGGTTCCTGCTCATGTTGGTGTGGAGGGTAATGAACAGGTGGATATTCTGGCCAAACAAACACTCAGAATTAGGAACACAGACATAGAAGTTCCACTTTGCAAAGCGGTGATTAAAACATTCATACAGAAATATGCACAAACAACATGGCAAGAACATTGGGACATTAATGATACAGGAAGACATCTTTATAAAATGCAAAGGTATGTGGGGGATGGAAGGAAGGTGGGGTTTAAAAGAAGGGAAGAAAATGTAATTTCTCGGTTGAGAATAGGTCATACAGGTCTCAATCATACATTAAGTATAATAGGAAAGCATCAACCCGGAAAGTGTATACACTGTAGCCAGCCAGAAACTGTTGAACATGTTTTACTGCTTTGCAGGAAATATAGTAGAAATGTGCTTTTCCAGACACTGAAGAAATCAAAATATCATGACTTTTCGCCATCAGGGCTGTTAGGGAAAACATCAGGCAATATGCATTGTGAAATTATTAAGTTTCTAAGAGAAATTGATACATTTAAATTGTATTTCTTTTATTTTTGTTTATTATTGTTCTGCATAGTCTCTTGTCCACACTCCAGTCCAGTTGGTGGCAGTAATGCACCTACAAGTTGGTTTGCCAACCGCCAATAAACACTAAAGACGAAGAAGAAGAAGTGAAGTTCCCAGATATTTGTAACCTGGATCCATGTGGCGTCTCGTCGCTACGGTTCTCTCTCTGTGTTCCTGATAAAGTGTGTGTGAGCTCCAGCTTTACTGATCCATCATCTGTGTGTCTGGATAAACCTCCGAATGGACTCTGTGCTCTTTTTTTCTGGAGCGTTTACCTCGGACTATAGGAGCTAGCTTAGCATGCTAGCTGGAAACACGTTAGCAACACTAGTCAGATTGAGAGTTTGATGGAGAGAGAAACGGTGTGTTTAACGGAGTTTGCAGGAAAAGGTGATCTAGTAAACATGAGTAAAGTCCAAATGCTGCTGTCGTTGAAGCAGCGACTCACTGCTGCTGCTGAAGATATATTTGCTCTGTTTGAAAAAACGATAGGAGAGCATGATAAGGAGATGTCTCTTTCCAAAGAGGAGAACGAGAGACTCCAGAAACTACTGGACGCTGTTTTACAGCCTCAGCTTCGGATGCACAGAGCAGGTATGTTCCCTTTACTCTTACTCAACACTTTAAACCAGGGGTGTCCAAAGTACGGCCCGGGGGCCGAATACTGGCCATTTTGAATTGGCCCTCAGCTAATTCAAAAAGTACAACGAAATATGGCCCACAAATGAAACTTGTGCTTTTCTTATATTGTACTTCTTAAATATAAATGTACAAATATATGACACAATAGTATTCATGTGTTAGCCCACTTTTAAAATAAATTCAGTCAATTCATGTTAACATTTTCTAACAAATCTTAGTTGATACAAAAAAGTAGGGATGCTCCGATCGATCTCGGCCGCCGATCGATATCGGCCGATACTCACTCTCTGCCGATCGATCGGTGCTCTCTAAAAATGCTGATCGCGAGAGCCGATCGCATGACGTAAAATACATGACACTTTTCTCTGCGCAGCAAAACAAGCTCGCCAAAATGGGTTCACCAGTCTGGCAGTATTTTAAAGGAATGGTATGCTCATGACACTTATTTTTAAATAATTATCATTCGATAAAACAGACCAGTCTCTGCCAGTCTTTCTTTTTTTTTTTTTAATCCGATGACATTATCAGTGATTTTAAACTGATTAATTACCGAAATAACATCAACACTGTGGGCGGCGCCATTTTACCGGACGTGACGTAAACCATGCATTTGGTTTCGAGGACACGTTGATGTTCATGTTATTTACTGTAGTTACTCTCTTCAAATATGCCTCATTGTATCGCGAAACATTGCCACAATTCTGATAGGAACAATCCACGGAATGCTCGGTTCCATCTGTTGCCAAAAGGTAAGCGTAGGAAGTACGTTCGGAGGCAGTGGCTAGCGAAATGTGGCCGGCCCGAACCGAAAGATCCACAGGCGCATGTATGCAGCGAACATTTCAAGTTTCCGGACGACTACTATGAGTATGATAAAACATAACATGGGATTTATTGAACAACCATTACTTAATGGAGATGCAGTACCATCGGTCTTTCTGGTGTCATCACTGACCAGGACACCAGTTCGGCCAGTTGAGAAATCGCCCTCTGCAAGTGTGAAGTGACGGAGGACCAGAAGTAGTGCTCGGAGTAAGAATAAGGTATGTTATAGCGCATTTCCATTGCAGCGGGTAGCCCCGTTTAAACGTCCTTTATCGTCCAGGCCAGGCCAGTTTTTGGTGGCCTTTCCATATAGCGTAGTACCGGCTAGTGGGTATTTTCCCCCAGTTTTTCCGGCCCCATAACATCGTGGTTCTAGGGCCAGGGACAACGAGGCTGAGTATGCTAAACTAGAGAGGGAATCGCTAGCAAGGGTAGTACTACATGCATACATATCTAGTAATCAAAATCATTGTATCTACTAAGTAGTACTAAGTAGGCTCGAACCTGTATGGCTGAATTCCCCCATCCAATCTCTTCATATTGCTCAAAACTTCTTCCTCGGCTGACGAGTCCGAACTCAAATACTATGCCATGTTTTCGTGTGTTTACAAAGTGAACGCATGGATGACGTCACGACCATCACGTGACTACTGAAAATGGGCAAAATGGCAGCGGCCTGACGGAATATACAGGTTTCGATAAAAAAGAGCTATAAAATCATTATTTACCGGGGAATATCGCTGATTTCTTCAGGGTATGGTTTAAACATAATATTTCACTAAATACTGAAGTTTTGATTAATTATCTAATGAGTGGAGCATTCCTTTAAGGTGTCCGAAAATGACAATAAAATAGCGGTATGTAACGTGTGTGCTCGGCCGTATCTACCATTGAGGTCACCGAGGTCCGGACCTCGGTAATATTTTCCGAGCTGTGTATACAAAACTTGTGAAATAATTGCACTAAACGGGGTTCTTTGTAGTACTTCAATTTACTGACCATGGGGGCGCTGCATAACTACGTAGCCTCTGTTAAAGCAAACAGAAGAAGACGACATGTATCAACAAACCACCGCAGCCCGGACTTGTATCGGAGCAGCGAAGGAGTGATGAAGTATCTAGAGATCTGAGTCCAGCGGGCTGCTTGTGTTTCTGTTCATCAGGACATCGATCATATGACCAGCAGATCCTGTGTGAACGCTGTACGTTAGTCAGTGGACGTCCGACAACATGCACACTAACTTATATTCCAGCTACAGGCTATACTTTGGTTTAAATTGCGTGAATAAACTAGCTAGAGAGCTAAAGTTAATTACGTTCATCCAATGTCAGAAGCATTACCTTTTAACAAACATTGTAATGCTTTTCTTTCATTTCAATTTGAGTAAAACATTGAAGATATAACATTGTATTGTTTTCTTTTTACACTGACTCAGATATAATGAAAAGACTATGTCAGTCGATGCTCAGCTTTGGTAAGAGAGAGACAGGACAGAGAGAGAGAGAGAGAGAGAGAGAAAGTGATGGAAGTCAGGGAGGAACTGCAGGTACACAACATAATGTAGGCTTAATAAGCCCACCTATTTATCTATCTATGTATCTATAACAATAGTCTTCATTTACAGTAGGCATCATTTTAAAACATACATCTATTGCAGTTATGATGTCATAATAACATACAATTGTATAAAACACAATTTGCTTACATCTTTGTTCTCTTTTGAGAATCAAACAAAACAGATTTAAATAAAAAAAGAATGCAAACAAACAAGTGAAATGAACTAAACTGCTGAATTGCTTTTAATTCACTGGCAGGAGCGACAAGTGAGGAGGAGCAAACAGTGATCAACGAGGGAGAGATTGAACAAAAAGAAAGAGTAGAGGACAGAGAGAGTAAAGAACAGGAAGAAGACAGAGAGACTAAAGGCAATGGAAGAGAGGGTGCAGGTTATGGAAAGGAGAGAGACATGGAAAATGAATGTTGACAATGTGTTGTGATCATTTTTAGCCTCTTCTGCATGTCCAGATCATTAATAGTAACAATCAACTGATCCTTATTACACTTTAAAAATAATTGATGCTGACATTGTCAGCCCACTGACATAGTTTGAAATCAATATATTATCCAATTTTTGACCCCCCACAGGACTTAAAAAGCACCTAACTAGATCGTGAAAATCCCCAAAATCTCGGCGAGTATCCCCCGAACCCCCCTAGCATGTGTGGACCTCGGTATTTAGGAAATCCTGGATACGGCCCTGCGTGTGTGAAGCAAAAATCCTGCAGCTCCACCCGCTGTGACGGACCGGTGAGAAAAGGAAAACACACACTAAGAGTTAGACCTAACACACTTAGCTATTTTATCTACCTCTGGAACAAGCTAAACTAGTTATAAATATATGTATTCTTCACTGTAGGGTCACTCATTACTGGATCAGTTAGCTGGATGAGACGATACTGACAGGCTGTCAGGAGAGAGAGAGACTAATTTCTCCCGTGTTATCATCCAAAGTTAATGTAAATTTGAAAAATGTACTTCATTTGAATGTAATAATTATGTTGTTTGTGGAAGCGACAGTGAATGAGCCCCATTAACCGAGTTTTAAACATCACTTTAAATGGAAGATCCCCACCCACTCGATCGGATCGATGATCGGTATCGGTCGATACTGATTCCGGCGATTGGCCCCAAAATTGGCGATCGGAGCATCCCTACAAAAAAGCCTTATAACTTATTTACATAACAAGCTTGAATGATGTAGGTGGTTTTTTTCTTAAAGCATATTCATGTATCGAGCCTAATTTAGCTACATGTTGCTAACTTATAACTTAACTGATGAGGTGATATACCTCACCTCTATGAGTGGCCCAGCCCTTCGTATATTTTTCTGTATTTGGCCCTCGGTGAAAAAAGTTTGGACACCCCTGCTTTAAACTCTTTGGTAACATGTTAAACTATTTGGTAACACTTAAGACTATCAAATATAAATATAAAATATTTCTTGTAAATCTCAAAAAACATGAATGTTTGTTAACACTGTACATATAAAGATCAAATATTGTTGACTTAAAAATGTTCATATCTATTCAACTAGCTATTTTGTTAGCATGGTACATATGAAAATCAAATATATTTAACTTGAATATTTGTATTATCTCGTCAATGGAGTAGTACTCAAAACTGACTGAATGTACTTAAAACAATATGTCGTGGCTTCCCTCCTTGTCTTTCCATCAAGCCACTAGACGCCTTAAACAGACAGTTCTAACTCGTTTCTTTCCTTTAAATTACTCACAGTTTGAAGAGTTTCTTGGCCTCCGATGGTTTAGATGATGTTGCGATGTGTTTGCTCAAAATAAAATAACAAACTTTTGCACATGCAACAAAGAAAATAGGCCTTTACAATATTCAAAAGAAATAGGCAAAAATAAAATAACAAACAACTTAGGTATTCTTTCTTTCTTGATAATGCTTATATAACTTCGTAACTTAAAGAGTACTTGTACGATTTGTGTGTACGAGTACGGTTAAAAACTGTTCCTTGATGGCGTCTCAACAGGTTGCCCATCACTGTGGCTTTAGCACAGGCGCCGTGGGAATTGTAGTCCTTTTATGGTGCGTTGACTACAGACGTCACAATTAGGTGGCCTTTCTTATAAAATCAAAATACTGGCTCTAACATACCGGCCCCTATTGTTATGGAAATCTTTAATAACAAAAACTCAAAAAGAGCCAGACAGGTCAGTCTTCATATTCTATTTGAGATAGACAGGGTGTCTTAATTGTCCATCTTCAGTTATTTCCTTATTCTAAGGCAGGCACCAGTAGGCATATTTTGCTTATTGGTCTTTCCAGCGTGTTGGTTTTTGTCTTAAGAAGAACACTCCGAATCAGTCCTCCAGATCCAGGAGCATCCATAACTCTTGCCATTAACCAGGATCCAGGAGGTGCATTTGAATCCATAATTATTACGATGTCTCCAGGCATGAATTTCCTTTTTAATGCGATTCCATTGCTGTCTTGCTTGCAAAAGTGGTAGATATTATTTGATTCATCTGGTCCAAAACAAAATTGCTATGTACTGCACTTGTCGCCAGCGGCGTCTTGAGTCTGTATCTTGCTGATGG